CAGCCGTACATGTTTGAGCCCTTGCCTCGCAACGCTGCCAGTTCTGTTAGCTCTACGCCTGCTGAAGACACAGACGTCCATCCCCATGAACACTGGGACGCAACTCAATGGGAAAGGAAATGATTCTCATTTTAACCGTTTATTAGCTGCGACATATGAATGAAGATGCTATGACCGAAAACATTTGATTGACAGATGACCGTTGATATATGATTGGCCAAATTTAGGTGTACCGGCTGAAGTACAACTAACTGGCCTGCATAAGATAAAGGAAAAAAAACAGATTTTAAGACAAGGTTGTTTTTTTTTTATAGAAATTTTATAACTTTTGGGACAATATCGTCTGAAGAGTACATTTATATACATGTTTAAGCCAGAATGATTTGACATTTAAATATGACTTCCCTATGGCTTTAAATGATGAATCAGAATGGTCAGAAAAGCTGATTTTATGATAAACTGCCGCCATAAGCATGTGCGCCTACGCTCAGGGCAGCAAATCAAGATATTACACATACGAATCCTCTCTACGCATTTGCAGATTTCACACGGCAGAAGTGTAGCAAAAAACGTGTGTAAAGAGAGCCACCAGAGAAACTGCTTGACTTGTAACCAATGATTTGTCTGTATTCCTGGGTGTCGAAGCAAAAATACATTCTACTTAAGTTACTCTATGTGTTTAGAGACTGATCTAAACATTTGTAGATCTGAATATGGATTTGTGGATTTTTTACACATTTGCAAATCAATTACACACAAGTTATTTTACTCATTTCCAGATACTCGTACAGACGGACAAATCTAAACATACATATTCAAATCCTATTGCACACACACAAATCTAGATACAGACACAAAACTCTCCACACATATTTGCAAATAATTTTAGACCAATATTACTCCCATACTCTTCTTCTTCTGGTTCAGAGCGCAAAGGTAAAGAGTCTGCAGCCATGAAGGCCGACCTGCTGAGGGCCAGAGACATGAAGCGCTACATCAATCAGCTGACTGTCGCCAAGAAACAGTGTGAGAAGCGCATCCGCCTGCTCGGGGGGCCCAACTACGAGAACAGCGAGGAAGGAGGAGCCGACGAAGGCGACGAACCGCAGAGTCAGAGGGTTCGCCACACGCCAGCGTTGGAGCTTTAACGCCCAACTAGGGACCAAGAGTTTGACTGACTGGTTTTCTCCTTCCTTTAGATCCTCCAGTTCGATGAGATTTTGTGTGACGCCGGCTACAGAGAGCATTTTAGAGTTTACATGGAGAGAGTGGATAAGAGAGCTCTGATAAGCTTCTGGGAACTGGTGGAAACGCTGAAAACTGCCAATAAGGTATCCTGTTCCTCAGTCTCACCCAGCAGGGCTCGAATTCAGACAGACCAAACAGATTAAAACTGCATAAGCTGCTTTATCTTAAAGAGTCACACTGGATTTAGCTCCTAAAATACATTAATGCAGATTCAGAAGCTTTTTAGGATTTTAAATTGAGCAGCTTGATTAGTTAATGTCAGGGTTGTACTTCATACAGCTTTATGTAAATATTTGCTTTAGGTGCTTCTGCAGGTGAAGGAGGTGCAAATATTTGACTGGCTACTGCTTGTTTGACAGAATGAAGTTCCCCAAATCGTGGGTGAAATCTACCAGAAGTTCTTTGTGGAGAGCAAAGAGATTCAGGTGGAAAAGTTTCTTCTGAAGGAGATCCAGCAGAGTCTGGTGGGAAACAGGGGGACCGAGGTGTTCGTCAGGCTGCAGGAGCAGGTACCAAAACATTTCCTTTTCTCAGCATTTGGTTCCTGCTGGAACAGAAGCTTAGAGTTCCAGTAGAATGTTCTGGATCACTGCGTGCTGATGTGGTGGAATGGCCCAGTCACAGTCCGGACGTCCCAGAGACGCTCTCCCTTTGGTCCACCTGCTGCTTCGCTGACTGCAGGATGAACGCAAATGCATGCCACACTTTTCAGATGATTATTTCTAAATCCAAAAATAATATTTGCTTTAAAATAATGTAGTTATTTGGATGGAAGGGTGTCTCATTAAAAACCAAGGACCCCCAAACTGATGTTGAGATTGAGTCGGGACCCCCTAATTATATATAGTATGAAATAGTGTTCTATCAAACTGGTCCTATAGTAGCTCTATTACAGATGGAGTAATGCAATGAAAGTAATTTCTCCCTGGGATTATTAAAGTAATTCAGATTCCTGGTTGATGGGACAGGTGTTGTGAATGAAACAGTGCCCAGCTTTAAAGAGCTCCTGTGTGTCGCTGAATGTGTGCGATCAAGTAAAATGATACGGCTGGCGTAAGCCTTAATCGGAGAAAATGACAGACTAAGTGTGCTCCTGATCTCCAGTCTGCTCAGTAGCTTTGTTTTGGTCGCTGTAACCGCAGAAAATCCCGCTTCACAAAGATAGGATGTTATAGATGGGATGAGTCTTGAACTGGATTAACCTGTGTCAAGAGGCACAGATGCACCGACTGATGTAATTGGGAGAGAATACTGCAATTTTTTATATTTTTCAAAATAAAACATCACTCAGTGGATAAATTACATATATATATAGTTTTTTGGTTTTTTTTGCGGCCCGGTACCAAATGACCCACGGACCGGTACCGGTCCGCGGCCCGGTGGTTGGGGACCGCTGCTCTAGTAGACCTCTCCAAAATTGTAGGTGACCGCAAACGGTGCCGCAGACAGGAGGCCTCTGATTGGTCAATTCTACATCCCCTCTACTCTATGCGTATTTCCTGTTTGGTACCTTACCGGCTTGTTTTGTTTGTTTGACCGCCATTGTTGAAAACGACTCGTGAAGTTGGACCAGCTAGAAGAGCGAGGCGCACGAGAACTCTGGGACCCTTTTTCCTCCTGGATCCCCGCTCTTTTTCACCCTCATGTCCCTCCTTTGTCGCACAAACTCACCCCCACTTCCTCACTGCCTCGGCTGTATCTAGACCCACAGCTAGTTGTAGATTATCCCTCTTGTGGTGTGTAATAACAAAGCGCAGACCACACTTTAATATTGGACATAAATAGAAAATAACCCTAACCCAAGCTAGCTGCGACACACTGCTGCGAGAGAATAACCAGCCCTTCAGCGTTGATGACGTCACCAGCGTGACAGAAGTCAGGAAAGTAAACAGACAGCAGCATGTAAGGAAGCCAGGGCGTAGTCAGGGTGTTTATTGTTTCACTCTTTTATCTCAGAATCTCTCCAACCAGCGCTGCGCCATGTTTATTGATGTAAACAGAGTTGTTTGGGNGCAGCATGTAAGGAAGCCAGGGCGTAGTCAGGGTGTTTATTGTTTCACTCTTTTATCTCAGAATCTCTCCAACCAGCGCTGCGCCATGTTTATTGATGTAAACAGAGTTGTTTGGGTTTGTTAGATCAGGAGCGTCTGGCACAGCGTGTGGCGTAATTTAGCGTGTCCACCCGGCTCTGGTCCTTCCAAAGAAGTTAAATAATCCACTGGACTTGTTTCAACGTTTGAAGAAGTTTTGCTTCCCATCCAGGAAGCTTTTTCAATTCAAAATGTCAGGAATATTTATTTATTTATTTATTATTTCTTTTAATCACTATTCTATATATATATATATGTGTATATGTATGGGTATGTGTAAGTGTATATGTATAAATGTGTATATATTATATATTTTTTTATTTTTTTTTTTTTATAGCTATTGTTTATTTTTGTATTACCTTTAATTATCTACTCCTGCTGGATTTGTGTCCAAACGGTTCTTGGGATGGGGGGTTAAAATGTAAATCTGAGTATCAAGCCTCTTGTAATGTAAATTATAATGTAGCACTGATGCTCAACAAAAAAAATGTCAGGAATAGCACTGAATTTGAGCTTCCTACAACAGGGAACATGGGGAACGTCTTCAAACTTGGAAACAAAGTCCAGTGGATTGTTTTAAACTTTTTTGGAATGACTCTGATCTGAATGACTGAGAATCTTCACCAGCAACCAATCTCTGGTGTTCCCACAGCATGCCAATAAGAGCCAAGCCATTTTAACATAGATCGTTTTCCAAGTCCTTTGACCCGGTTAAACAGTGTGAGTTAGCTGTTCCCGCTACCACTAAAAGCTGAATGTTCCTGGCTTTAAACAGGATTTTCAGCCAGCGGGAAGAAGAAACCGAAAAAAAAAAAAAAAAACTAAAATCACCTGCATAATGTGGGTAATGATGGAAACAAACATCTGACAGCTGCAGGAGGAACAGAGATCAGTGCTTCTGTTTTCCTCTGGTCTGTCTGCTTCTCTCTGCTTGATCTGCAGCAGGCCGTTCACACTGAGCCTGGTTCTGGTTCTTGTAGAGGTTTGTTCCTGTTAAAGGAAGTTTTTCCTCTCTACTGTCGCAGCATGTGAGGAGGGATTGCTAAGGAGTCAGAGTCATCTGTCTCAAGCTGCTCATCCAGGAGGGGAGAATCCTGCAAAGTGAATGACTGGCTGCAGTCAGATGAATTCCTTAAATAGAACCTTTACTGTGACTGGCTGATCTGGTTGAATCGTCTCTGGAAAGTAACAGGAGAATTAATTAGAGCTACAGAACTAAACTTAACTGAACCTGAGAGTGAACGGGAACCTGTAGTGTGTAACGCTGCCTCACAGACAGCCATATGCTAGCTTTAATCATTCAGTCCTTACTTTCCCTAAGCTCTGGCTCCCCCTAGAGGAGGCCATCCCACACTTTGCAAAGTCTTTCCCTAAAATGATAAGAAATGCATTGATCTGGATCAGGATCCAGATCAGCGTCTAAACTGAAGGTGTTTTTAGTTTGGCTAAGGAACACCACCGATACTTTAAAAAAAAATGTTTTTTTTTAACCTGTTTCTCACCAACCGTATCATACAATGTCATTAATACATGATGAAATAATAACATTACAAAACATGAAGATGAAGTGGTATCAATACTTTAGATCAGGGTTAACCAATTAAAAACCGACATATATATATA